TCCTGTAAAGAGGCAAGAACATTCATTGTACTTAAGCTAGTTTTGTTTGCGTTTACTCGAAGACCAACCTTCTTATTAGCATCCAAGACAGCTTCTTTGTTTTTTATGGCATTCGTGTTTTCGCCCAACTAATTAACATCATCAGGATGGACAAAAAGTTGGTGTGTCCCATTCTGTTCAATTCTTCCTGACTCCTTTGGACTTTCCTAATGGTGTGTTTCAGAACAAAGATGACACTCAATGGTAATAAAGGAACTTGTAGTTTTAACCTTTTAAAAAAATAACTATATGTACCACCTGATTTAACAGCCACTAAACTTTTATTTTGTATTTAAGCCTAAGTCTCAATGTAAATAGTGATTGTTTCCTTAAACTGCAATAACCAGTTGATCTTTGTAATGTGAATTTTTGTGTTTCTTTGAGGTACGGACTGAATTCTTGTAATATTATTTAAAAGAGTTTCGGCTTCAAAGGGGTTAAACAGATCTTGTTTCAAAATCCTAAATACCAAAACGAAGAAGATATGTAATAGACCATCCGAAATATTAATAACGTAAAGAAGTTCGTAAAATGTGAAGAGAAACTGGTCGTGAAGCATCTAAATAATCTCATATAAAGACGTGTCTTAGAAAAGTAAGAAGTCGTATTTAATTAGAGAACTTTAACCCTTCAAAGCCTAATGGTAACTATATGTACCACTTGCTTTAATAATCAGTAACTCCGCATATTCTTAGAGTGTATTTGTTGGTTTCAAATGGCTCTCGGAATAAACATCGACAATTTACAAGCAGTAACCAACTGATTTTCGTAATAGTCATATGTTCTCTTTGAGGTAAGAACTGAATTTGTAAATGATATTTAGACATCTTTGAGTAAATTTGGTCGTTCCTCACAATGCTATTAATTACATTTTTCGTTGGAACACATGTTTAAAAAGTTGTTTATTTTCTGAAATTACATGCAGCGCCAATGCGGGGGAAGTACAATGTCGATTCCTGCAATAGTGGAAATAAAATTGATAGAGGAGTTAACTTTATATTTAGGAGAGCGCTTAAAGGTTGCACATCCATGTCGCATGCAGAGAAAAAAGTATCCAATATGTTTGTTGCCTATATAAAAAAAACATTATTGGGAGTACATGTCATGGATGGCTGCGTATGATACGATTTTGAACAAAATGGCTGTTGTTTTATTTTATCAAGCACCTTATATAACACGAATAAGCACTTGTCCATTCACGTTTTACGTCCATAATATTTGAAGATTTCCCAACTATTAATTGAGAACAGACCTGGGAATCACCGCTGTGAGCTGAATCAGCCATTATTATTACAGACGTTACAGTAACCGCAGCTCTGGACCACTTTTATATTATAAGGCGAACACAGAGTCGATACGCATCTCCAGAGCTCTGTGTTCTTGGCGGCACACCACTTTGAGATATTCAACCAACCCTGTACTGTATAATGTATCAAAGCCCGAGGGTGAACACGACGGCCTTCGGCCTCCGATGTATGGATGGTGAACTGCACGCACCGAAAATCTTTTTTAGACTTCCGAGAAACAAAGGCTTTGACCTCTGGTGAGCCAGAGATACTTCGTGTTACTGTGGTAATTCTACCCTTGATCGCTCTTTGCCCGGTGGTATAGCACAACGGCTCTCACTTCACGACAGTTGACGAGTTATTTACGTCAAACAGCATACCACCTGTCCCACACAAATTTCCCACACTGTCCTAGTTTTGACCTCAAGCCAGTGCAGTAATTCTGCTTCAGTTTGCCTGTCCGTCATGTTGCTATTACTAAGTGTAGGAAATATAAAATTACGAGATTGCGGTGGCATCTAATGGTATAAAGTTCTTACCAAATTTCCGCGAAAATATAACCTAAAGAATATTAATTTTTAAGCAATTAGCCCTTCCCTAAAAGAAAATATTTCTACTTTCTTTGCTAGCATTTGTCACAACAACAACAACAACAATAATAATCCTGACAAAATTCAACGAGCGATCTGAAATAAAATTGAACACAAAATTTCTCAGACAAAACATACATTTGCACCAAACAGGAGTTTATGGGCGTACAGTTTTGTTGTGATAATTGTGTTATAAATTTGTGATAGGTATTTACAAATTCTTTTTTGAAACAAACAATTTTAGATTTTCCATCTCATCTTTCACATATAACTGTATGCCTGACACGTTTACTGCAAGACAGTTTTGAAGCAACGAAAATGTTTTGGTGTTAATAGTTTCTTTAAACGTAGAGGCGAAAGCAGAATGAAGTAATCATGTCCAACTTTAAAATTTTCTTGATATAATTTACCGTGTATGAATGAACAGGACTACTGCAATGGAATTTACTGCAATAAATATACAATTATATGTTGTTTATGCAAATAGATCGGCCGATTCTTAGATTATATAAAGATGTTGTACAAATCAGTATAGCGTTAAATCCTAAGCGAATACATGCTATGTTCAATGCATAATTTTGTGTTGGTGGTGCTGAACTTTCGTTTTCTCTACAAATAAAGTAACAGGCGAGTTACAGAAAAACTACAGCGTACTACAAGACTGAACTTAAGAAAGTGAGTAAGCAATGTCAATAAGGTATATCAAACAACGAGTAGTATAGTGTCATTCTTTACCGTATAAAACGTATTCTATTATTAACTCTCTTGTAAAATCAGTGTGGTTTGATCTTAATAGACATTTAATTTGACAAGTTAGAGTTGAGTTAAGTTGGAACATAAGAACTGTTCCACCCAATCACGAGAGTCTTGTCTGAAGTGATTGTCCTCACGGAGATCTGATTGAGGAATCTAGGTTGCCCACAACAGCAGCTAATTCACTTCAATATGATTGGACATTTGATGTCCTACTTTCGTTAATGACACGTACTTCTGTACTCCGTCTAATTTGCATATTTGAGAAACTTGTTCACACGGTTGACTTTCATACACAGGAAACATTAACAATCAGATATTGGTATAAAATACATCTACAAATATAACTTGGTGATTAAAACATCTGTTTTCATTTTCATATCATCAGAAGTATTTTCATGGACTTGTGAGTTATTTTCGACATGATTCCTTTTTCCACGAACTAACTCCATTGAAACCAGGCCTTCTCGAGAAGACGTTAGACATTTAGCGATTCAATAATTTCCCCCTTATATGGAACCAAAATGTTCATTACAATTTCACAATAGCCCGCTACCGATTCTTATTCTTACCTTCTACAGCGATGCATTTTTTTCTGTGAAGAATATTTTAGTGTTCTAGGAACCTGTTATGGCGTTTTAAAAATCTCTCATTTATTGCCCAGTTTCAAAATAATACGTGAGCATCTGTTAGTATTAGTGTTTGACTGTACGTCTATGTAAAGACGAAGTCTACACGAACAGATCTGAATTATGTTTGGTTTTTGAGTGTCTGCTGAAATATAATGACATTATAAATTCTATTTAAATAGGATAACATAAGAATATCACTTTATATAAATATATTAATACATCTTAATAAGTACTGACTAGCAGAAGGAATGTTTTATACGCATCTAGTAGCATATTTAGTGTTTTCTTACACACGCTTCCCATATAAAACCGGCAGTCAAATTCTTAAGAGAATTTCTTTAGTATTTAATCTTACATTGAAATTGAAGTATTTTTTAAAATTCTAAAGGATTTTCAAAAACCTTTTAAATTATCTATTATCTTAAAGTATAACGCATAAATTCTTCTAGTCAGGAAAAGAATTGGTCTAGAAGTAAATACTATATAAGGGTACAATATTGGCCTTTATATGAAACCAATGTGTTTAGCAAAGATATCATATAATTGTACGTAATAATTCTAAGAATGTTTGGAAGCCTACACGATAAAAATAACAACAAATAGAAATTAAGATTACATCAGGGGAAGAAAAAGTCCTGGAAATGCTTTTTATTTTTTAGTTTAAATTATGCTTTAACTTGCGATAATTAAGTGGATGTTTCATTCACGAAAACTTGATAAGGATTTAGAAAATCTCTACAGTGAAGTAGTTCTTCTCCGAAATGGACTGTAATCAGTTTTAAAATAATTATAAGCCCAAAACCTGTTACTCGCAATAGAAACATTTTACGACTTGTGAATAGAAGTAGTTTTGAAAAATGAGGACTTGATGTCTCTACTCGCATTATAGACGAATTTAAATTCCTGTTTTACTAATCATAACATTTTTATTTCAATGCAATATTGTATTAAACAAGCGCGTTATTATAGTATATCGTGTTTCTTCATTTGCTGAGTGAACCCGCATTTCCAAATTCAAGTGTAATATTTTACCTGTGTGGACATAGTTATGAAACCAGGAATACTTATGTGCTGTAGATGAACGCAGCTGTTTCAAAAACAGCCGGTTCATTAGTTTAAAAGGAACAAACCGTCAAGTTAGAAACATTCTGTATCGCGTCGTAGCTGTTCATCTGTTTTTATACATCTGACCGCTCTCCATGACTTCCAATTTGTAAATGTCTGTGTGCGTCTTCTATAATTAATTACTACCAGTGCTTAGAACTCGAAACGGTAGCTGCTGCTGTTTATGAACATAATTAACTTTTTATCATTGTTGCAACAAGGAAGGAATATGTATAAAGCACGAAACTTGAATATAGTTCCATCTACAGAGATCAGTTAGAATTAACAGTGGTAGAATTTTGATTAATGACGTATCTACTAAAACTAAACTGCAGATTCTGTTACTGACATACAGTTGTAATTGCATTATGCTTATGGTTTAATGTACATTGAACTGAAGAAAGGACTATGAATTTTGGCCTGTCCACAAAAATCTACATATGAGGACAGGAAATGAAGCTAATTTTTATTGTCGTTTCAGGTGAAGCAGCGAGTCACTTTGTCATTTCAACGATAAGCGTAGGAATTTTGGAGTGTTCCACTCGGTTCTCCGATTTCGCTGGTATATTTCTAGTCAGTGATGGCCAGTTTGTGTGCAGGGTGCCACTTTTAATTACACTTCAGTCTGACGTCCAAAACAATAGAATGTAAGTAAAATACTGAGTTTATACTTCCTTAATTAAAATTAAACGAAGTGTTGTTTGTAGCTTGTTGATCCTCAAAGAACTTAGTTTAAATTGTGTAACTAAACAAACTGTAAACACATTATCACTTACTGAGGCCTTCGACTTATTTTAATATGTGAAATAACGTAGTATGTAGCACGCCTGATATTTATCATTGCGGTTCTTGTACGTAACACGGGCAAATGAAAAGGATGGGAAAGGAATCGAGGAGAAAGGATGGAATTATATAAAGGAACTGAAGGAATGAGGTGAGGAATGAAGATACAAAATAAATCACACCATGAATATCAATGGGTTTTCTATTAGTACTTGATAATTTCAATAGTTTTTTTCAGTGTTTCTAGACGGGTACTAACACAGTCCCACCAAATAGGCGATAAATACTCACTCTATTTGCCTTGTTTTAAGGTAGGGCTACGCAGTCATCGTCTAGTCCCGTGTTCCACAACTGGTGTGCCACCACAAGGTTTCAGGAGTTCCGCGATTTTTTTATAAGAAATTGTGTATTCGCACGTTTTTTTCGAAAAAGACAATGCATTACCCTTCGTAATCAGATTCCGCAATACACATACACACACTGATTCATTATCGATAATTTTATTTAACATGTGTTATGTTGTGTTTTCATATGTCTACAATCTTGTAGGTCAAGGATTTATTTGTATACTATATATATATTTATGGCCATGGAGATTTGATTGTAAACCACAACTTCTTGCAAAAGAAACACAAGACAGCAAATAATATCTTAAAACATTATCAACATAAGATTTCTACTCACCATTAACTACGAAACTAATTTGCATCCCAACAACCATCGCAAGGCCACAACAACAAGAAATTCCCAGCATGAATATAACCAGAGCCTATGAAACGTAACTTGGTATTGTGATTAAGAAGAGGTTCTGGCATATTTTAATTTTAATTTATAGCATGTTTTAATTGTACACTCAAAATATTTTAGTCAAATGAACGATCTCAACTTGACACGAACGTAACTAATTCACCCACGCCCAGTAGGGGAACATTCTCCAGAAAGAATTCAAGAAAAGTCAATATTTTAACTTCTTAATCTTCATTCAGAAAGAAAACAGAGCTACCTAAGAATTCCAACAGCGTAATAGCGTGTGAAATGAAAAAGGAACATCTTAAGATGGGTTAATCAACCCGAAACTTGTAGTATTACATTGAGACACGAAGAAAGAATAATTTTGTGCTGTGTATAAACGAAATTAATAAACTTCCAAATTCCAGTTCAGAATATGACGCTCCTGTGCAATCTTCTATCACCTTTCCATGAGGCAAAATTTTGTGGTGTGTCGTCATATGTCTGACAAATTAGGGTGTGCCGCGGGTGAAAATAAGTCGCGGTCTGGTCTCGTCTAACCGTTTTTGCATAAACCTCTGTGATGTATTCGGACCTAATTAGCTGCAGCCATAACGGGTTAATACTTTCTCCTATTATTTTTCAGTTTAAAGATAGTACCGTATAAAATTAAGTTAGTGAAAGCGTTACATTGTCCTCTGCCACTAATTTAAACATCAACCCAATTAAAAAACACGTCCTTCAGTGAGTGATCCACCAAATCCAGTCATAATACTCGAAGATGCTGGTAAAAGTGTCGCGTCTTGTCAGGAAAGGAATGAGGTATAGGATTTGAGACTTTCGCGGCGAGTATAATCAATAAAGTCTTCTCGGGCAATCAGCCCCGTTAACTGTCACATCATAACCCTGATGAAGGGGACAGATTTGGTTCCCGAAACATCGGTTTACTACGGTAACCAGTTAACGCGGCTGATTGCCCGAGAAGACTTTATTGAAGGAATGAGGTACTTTAAATCCAACTATTAGTTATTTTATGATAAAGAAGATCTTAATTCCTATTCATAATAACATTTTGTGTGGAAATATTTACACAAGATATCAGTGCTTGCAGGTTTATGTTGGGAGGCAACTTACCCTCAACTGCACATCGACTTAGCTTACCGGCGTCATTGACTTTCTACGTCATAAACATACTAATAAATCATTCTAAATATACGGCAGAATAACACCATGTTATTCAGGATTTCGGTACAGGTGATAAATTGCACGCCTTTGAATAGCCTACATTTTCATGAGTATTTTAAACTTTGTTCGTTTTATATCTGTGACATGAATTATGAGATTTTCTTCCATCTAGGCATTTGTAAAGAATAAAAGAATAACTAAGCAGAATATGAAAGTTATTGCAGGAACCAATGCACGTTAAGAGGTGAACTTTATCATACGATCTGTCACATGGACTACTGTTCTCATGCACTTGTAGTTTGAAACGAGCCTGCGAGCTCAGGAGTCTTCGCTTTGATGTTACTTACGGGGGCCCGGATGGAGAGAGTGATTTTCAGTATGTGACTTGATTTAATACTAAGGCCGCTATTAAACCTATTTAAATACATATCCGAATATGAAAGCAACACTACTGTCAGTAAATAAATGTACCAAATTGTAATTACTTTATGAAATTATCCATTGTCTAAGGTGTATGTCATATAATTCGCACGGCATTTTGGGAACTGTTATAACCTGGTCTTTTGGCGGTGGTAATCACTAAATATACAGACATATATTTTAGATTAGGCTACAGGGTGAACACTGACATATAAACACGGGTAAAAAGACAAAGTAATGATGATTTTTCATACATATTTTAGTTTCAACGAGTTTTAAATGGTGTTTTATGATTTCAATGCTGTTTCATTAATATCGAGCGACACTGAGTTGATTTTAGTGACTCAAAACTTTCTAACAACACATCCATGTTGTACAAATTTTTTGTTGTTGTTATTATTACAAATATATACTATTATGGGGTCCATTAAAGACGGGAATATAGTAAACTCCCGAAATGTCATGTAGGCCTATACTAATGCATGTCAGCAGACATATCACATAAATTATAGCCTATAGCAGAGGCTCGTCATGCCTAATGCAGGAAGAGTAAATTAACAATGTGGTAATTCAATCGGTTTGGGGTTGGTTAATATCAGTGGCGTTGTCTTTCCACATCTATAAAAATTATAAGAACGAATCATATATATAGTGATGAAAGATAATTCGTAATTTAAACTGATTTGCTAGGAAGAAGTTTGGTTTGTTGAATCGATAGTTACATCAGGACAATTTCTTTAACTAATGATATCAGAGTTTTCGTAAGAATATAGGCGTATGTGTGTTTAAATTTGTTGCTACAATGTGATCGAAAATCTATGATAATACAGAAATACATAGATGGGTGTTCCATAAACGACAGTGTGTGGTTTTAATATTTCATGTTCTCACAGCTACGAGTATGATGGTGGCTGCCTTCTGGGATGTACAAGCGTGTACTCTGGTAGAAGTGACAGATATTTAGAAGAACTGATAGTATTCATCATCTGGGTTATCGCACTCTTATGCGATATATTTTCGACGTTCCTGATTCGCATATTGTCTTAAGTTTCAATGCGAAGGAAGGCCTATTAGTAAAAGCTAAGTACGCGAGGATTTCCGAAACGTCTGCAAAACAGACTACTTGTACACGGGAAATCAGGCTTATACATGAAGATCGAAACAGTATGGATCTCCTAAGCGTCGACAATACAGCCTTATTCTACACTGAAGATGGAGAGAGAAAGAATTTCCGAAACGTGGGGTTGAGACGAAGATACGAAAGAAGTCATTTCAACGAGCTTTTCTCACTACTTACCATAAAATAGGTAACTTTTAATGCACGCCACTGGTGCTTTTGTATGTTTAGTATGATGCTCTCGAAGCGGCTAAGGTTCACACAGTCAGACCGTAAAGGTTGGTTAAATATTAGATCCTTACGAAACGTTACCTCTGCTGGATTGTTTGCCAGGTTAGTTAACAACATGGAGTCCAGTGAAGTTATTATATGTGGCGGATAGGTAGGATGTGGCGTAATTAAAATCCCACCTAAGGAACATCTTATTCACTGGCATAAACCGTGAGGTCCCTTCGCTGCGACATTAGGTAAAGCCCCAAAGTTATTCGAAATATTTATGTGTTTGTGTGTGTGTGCGCGCGCGGCTGCTGCAGTGCTGCAAACCTAACTGGTTCTCGTGGCTTAATATCTTAAGACTCGATTTGTACAGTCTAGTAGACTTGCATTTTACATCTAAAATAGGTGGAAAAAGAAGGAGAAGGAAGTACATTCTAAATTTCCGACCTAAGGGTCTTAGTTTTCGGACTTTAGGAATGTCTGTCAAATATTTCTGCCTTGTACTGAATGCTATTTCATGAATCTTGAGACGACAGAAAGCAGAGGACTGGATGATAATGTTAAGAGTTCTGTCTTCTGGGTTTTTGCGCTGTGTAGTCGGGTCAGAGGTCATACTGCCTCCGTCCTGATGACGGAATATGACCTCTGAAACGTTGGTTAACATCTACCAGACTACACAGCGCAACAACCCAGAAGACAGAAATCTTCATAGCGTAGATAACTTAGAAAGAGTCGCCCTGATGACAGAGGCAGTATGACCTCCGAAACGTTGGTAAACATCTTCCAGACTACACAGCGCAACAACCCAGAAGACAGAAATCTTCATAGCGTAGATAACTTAGAAAGAGTCGCCCTGATGACAGAGGCAGTATGACCTCCGAAACGTTGGTAAACATCTTCCAGACTACACAGCGCAACAACCCAGAAGACAGAAATCTTCATAGCGTAGATAACTTAGAAAGAGTCGCCCTGATGACAGAGGCAGTATGACCTCCGAAACGTTGGTAAACATCTTCCAGACTACACAGCGCAACAACCCAGAAGACAGAAATCTTCATACTCACCGCTGTGAAAACCTCAAATCTTACAATGATAATGTTTTTATGTGAAGAGTTAAAATGCCACGAGAAGAACTCCACAGTTTCAGACAGTCATCTCCACATCCGTCACGGTGGCAACATCAAATCACAAGATAACTTGTTGATGGAGAAACAAAATCTTATATCTGCGAACTTTGTAGGTGCACTGCCCTTTATTTGAAAAGCTTATTTAAAAAGTCCATTTTTCATCTGCTAAGTGGCTGTTTTGTGGGAATATGCCGCTTGAGCTAGACACTGTTTTACAGCTTTCATTCTCAAACAAAGGACTTGGACGAGCATAATTTACTTCTCCGGTCAAATAAAGCCCAGAGCTAACATCATACAGGGGATTGCAGCTCAGTGGTTTTTATGTCATTAGACCGAACCTTTAAGTTTTCGTCTGTTAATGCAAGTTCTTTCTTTATTAATTATGATTTCCTAATCCGGGTGTCTTTTTTCGAAATTCTTCAGTTTAAAGACTGACTCTTCTCGTGCAGTTGCTACATACAGAATCGAAGGGACACATCAGAGCATAAAATTTAGCCCATATAAACAAAATGCTGTTGTCGTGGTACATTTTATATTGCCGAAAATTTAGACTTTGCTACAGGCGCAAATTATTGAAGATTTTAAATACTAA